GAGATCATGACCTGAGCCGAAATCAAGAGTTGGTTGCTTAACCAATGGAGCAGCCCAAGCACCCCACCCCTGACAGTTTTTTTAAAAATGCTTTTCTCCTTGCATAGTTTTTATTTCTTCTAAACTATTTTTTCTGTTTTTTGGGGGGGGGGGGTGTTGCAGCTCTGTGTTTCATTTTAGAGGCTTTCCTCAAATGTCAGGTAGTCCTCAGTTGTGTGCTCATAATTAAGATTGGGACTCTAGGGGTGCCTGGGTGGCTCAGTTGGTTAAGCAACTGCCTTTGGCTCAGGTCATGATCCCGGAGTGCCGGGATCGAGTCCCGCATCGGGCTCCCTGCTCAGCCGGGGGTCTGCTTCTCCCTCTGACCCTCCCCCCTCTCTCTATCTCAGTCTCTCTCTCAAATAAATAAATAAAATCTTAAAAAAAAAAAAGATTGGGACTCTAAGGTACGATCGGAAACGTGTGTGTGTGGGTGGGTGGGTGTGGGTGTGGCAGGTGGGGAGGCATGTTATCTGTGGACTTCACCACAGGGCGATCCATTAGGCCATTTCCTTGAGGAACCCCTGATGCTAGTATCTTTAGGTCTTTTTGCTCATCTGATCATATTTCTCGGAAGATTCTTCCAGACCCCCACTTGGAGGGCATCAGCCTGGCTGTCCATATTCTTAGAGCTGGGTGAAGAAGTCTGGGGCAAGTGTCAACATTCAGTATGTAAATTTTCACATAGTCCCCATTTTCAGTAACTAACATTCTTCCATCAACCTATCCAATTTTCTGTCTTCCTCCCAATCTCTATGTATTCAGAAGTCCAAAGACAAGCTGGGCCTTGTCTGTTGACACATCCTTCGTAGTCCAGCCAGAGTAATCTTGCTAAAAGGCAAGTTGGTGGAAAATCCTGCAATGGCTTCCCCTGCTCTCAGCAGAAAGTCCAAACTTCTAAACATGTTCCGGTCCTTCCAAGCTCTGGCCCAACCCTTCCAGCTATGTGCTTCCTGTCCAGTTGGTTCTCACCAGGTTAGACTCTTTTCAGTACCTCAGACGCGCTGTATTCTCCCCCTCTGGGCCTCCCGCACAAGCCATTCCCCTGTCTGAAACACTGTTCCCCCTTTTCCCACTCCCGTCTTTTGCCTGGATGGACCATGACTACAGCGGAGGAACAAAAGTTAAACCTGAGAGGATTGTTGGTGTCAGAGGCTTGGTAGTTCGTGAGGGTGCCATTTCTAAAATAAAATTCAGTCACTCCTGTTGCTTAAGAGTCCAAACCCAAACTCTTCAGTCTCACAGCCCACATCCTTGATAATCTGTTCCTCTTAGTTGCTCAAACTCTCTCTCCTTCTCCTTGTCAGAATCGCTGCTGGCTCTTTACCATCTTTACTGTCTCTGTCTCTCTACTTACTGGTGCTCGGACACTCTGGAAGGCACCTCTTCTTCTTCTTCTTTTTTTTTTTTAATTTTTTAAAGATTTTATTTCTTTGAGAGAGAGAGAGTGCGCATGAATGGGGGGGAGGGGCAGAGGACTCAGGGCTCAATCCCAGGACCCCGGGATCATGACCTGAGCTGAAGGCAGATGCTTAACGAACTGAGCCACCCAGGAGCCCCACGGAACCTCTTCTTTTGCCAGCCCTTTATTTATTTTAAGATTTTATTTATTTATTTGTCAGAAAGAAAGAGGGCACAAGCAGAGGGAGTGACAGGCAGAGGGAGAAGCAGTCTCCCCGCTGAGCAAGGAGCCCCATGCAGAACTCGATCCCACTGGATCCCAGGACCCTGGGATCACGACCCGAGCAAAAGACAGACGCTTAACCAACTGAGCCACCCAGGCGACCCTTTTGCCAGCCCTTTAAATACTGCTGTAGTTGAGAGCTCCATCATGGACCAATTCATTCCTCAGTCTACACTTCTCTTTAGAGATTTATTTTTGTCTTTTAGCTTTAACTATGACTAATATACTGATGATTCCTACATCCACCTCCCTAGCCAAGACCTCTCCTGGACCCCGTACCTGTGTGTGTCCACTGACCTGAGTTTCAGTTAATATTTGCCATGCTGGGGGGCGCCTGGGTGGCTCAGTTGGTTGGGCAACTGCCTTCGGCTCAGGTCATGATCCTGGAGTCCCGGGGTCGGGTCCCGCATCAGGCTCCCTGCTCGGCGGGGAGTCTGCTTCTCCCTCTGACCCTCCTCCCTCTCATGCTCTGTCTCTCATTCTCTCTCTCTCAAATAAATAAATAAAATCTTTAAAAAAAAAATATTTGCCATGCTGGGAACTGTGCTAGGTACTGGGTATACGACGGTGGGCACAAACAGACAGGAACCCAGTCTCTGACCTCCTAGATGGCAGAAGACAGACGCTGGATAAATTATTAATAAATTATTAATAGTACAGCCATGATGAGTACCACAAAGGAGTATAGGATGCTTTGGCAGTGTGAGGTGGAAGGCCTATAACTAGTATAGGCTTAGTGGAAGGCTAAAGAAATTATATTTAAGTTGAAAGAGAAGTTTGTTGACGACAAGGAATGTCTACCTGGATGGTGGACCCTTAAACTCAGAGCAAAACCAAACTCAAAGTCATCAACGTGTCATCCAAAACTTTGTCTCCTGAGTTCTTTCTCCCATGACTGGCAGCACCATTCACTCAGTGACCCTAAGTACAAATCTGAGAGTTGTCTGGGGGTCCTTCCACCTCTTCACTGGCTCCTGAGCCCACCCCACTCCACCCTCATCACCAATTCTTGTTGATTCTACTGCAAATTTCACAGGCTCCAATCTACTTGTACCTCTGTTGTCCACAGCCCTCATCCAAGGAGGTCATCAGCATCTTTCTTACCTGCGATGGTTCTTCACCCGTCTGACACCTGGGGACCACCCTTACTCTTTAATCCATTCTCCACAGTCATAGAATGCAAATCTTATCACAGGACACTCCTGCTCAAAACTTTTCAGTGCCTCTTCAGCATTCATAAAGTAAAAGCCCTTCTCCTTAATCTGATTTACAAGTCCCTCACAGGCTACCCTCCGGCAGCTCCCTACTTCAAGCCAAATGCTATTCAAATTAGTCATGGTTCCCCAAAGGACATGCTCTTTCTGCTGCTCAGCATCACTGTGTTCCTGGTAGCTCAAGAATACTCTCACCACGGGTTTCCTCTAGCAAAGGCCTCACATCCCAGTCCCAGTCGTCACCTCCTCAAGCCTCCCCAGGTCGCTCTGAAGAACAGCTGACCATCGTCTCCTTGGGATTCCCTCTATATCTAGTCCTTATCTCTATCACATCTTCAGTCGAACCCTATGCACTTATTTCTGAGTTGGTTTAAACTTGTTTGTCCCTTCCCGATGCATTATAAAATCCTTGTTTTGGGGACTGTATCTTGTCTTTGCATCCCTAACGCTTAGCACACAGTGATTGGAACACAGGGAGGGCGAAACAAATACTTGCTAAATGATTAAAGGCACAACACGATTCTAATTTCTGTGCTACTATATGTTCATCTCTACAACTCAATTTCTTATCTTGGTTCAGGAATCCGAAGTTTTCCCTCTACTACCCTTACTCCACAACATTTTTTCCCATTTCGAATTTCCTCAGCATTTGGAGATCAAAGCTTGTGCTAATCTATGTTGCCTTTGCCTTTCGGTACTGCCTTGAAATTACCCTTTAACCTTCCGTTGTATGCACGATCAGCAAGAACGCGGCTGCTAAATCTACAGCCGGAGTTACGGACGCTCGTAAGAGTCGATGCACGCATGTGGACGATTAAGCCCCGCGCGTGCGCGCCAGGCTTTTTTTTTTTTTTTTTTTTTTTCCTTTGGAGCGTGCGCACCGAGAAAGACAAAGGTGGGGAAAGTGACCAAGCAGTCATCCAGGCGCATGCCCATCCCTAAGTTGCCCCAGCCCCGGGACGCTCCCGGCGGGAAGTGGGTGTGGCCTGACCGGGAGCCGCAGAAATCCAATCCGACTGAGTGGGCTCGGCCCCTCCCTCCGCACGATTGGTTAGCTCCCAGTGTTGTGGGGCGGGGAAAGGAAGAGATGTGGGCGGTGGAGTGGGGGGGTGGCGAAGAAAGAGAGCCGTCTCGTTCTGCGCAAGCGCGAGCAAGCGACCAGGCGGGGGCGCGCGAGAGCGAAAGGGAGTGTGGAAGCCCTGATGTGCTGGCGAGCGCGAGCTGGGTCGCCAGCCTTGACGCCTGCGCCGTGGCCCTCGGGGCCCCGCGCGCGGCGGGCGGGTGCCCGGTGCGCCTGCGCAGTAGGCGGCGGCGGCGGCGGCAGGGGGAGGTGGAGGCCGTGGAGAGGCAGCGGCAGCAGCGGGTCCCGGGACTGAGGCAGCAGCGGGGGCGGCGGCAGGCGGAAGCTGAGGTGACGAAGGCGGCGGCGGCGGCGGCCGTTTCCCTCACGGTGGCGGAGACCAAGGCGGCGGCGGCGGCGGCGGCGGACGGGGAGCGGCCCGGCCCCGGCCCCCTGCTCGTCGGCTGTGGCAGGGCCGCGGTGGGGCCGGCCCGGCTCCCGCCCCCCGCGGCTCCCCCTCCGGCTCCTCCCCCGGGGAGACGCCGGGGGCCTGGCCCGGCCCGGACTCAGACCGCCGCCGCCGCCGCCGCCGCCGGGGCAGTCGGCGGCGGCGGCGGCGCCATGGGCGGCCTGGCCTCCGCGGGGGACGTGGAGCCGGGACTGCCCGTCGAGGTGCGCGGCTCCAACGGGGCCTTCTACAAGGTGAGGCGGTGCGGCGGCCGCGGACACCCGCGTGCGGCCCCCTCCCCCCGCCGGGGAGGGGGCAGCGGGGCGGGACCGTGCTGCTCGAGCCACGTCCTGGCCCTGCGAGCCCTGGCCCCGCGCTCCCGCCCGCGTCCCCCGGGGCAGCTCTGCGAGTGAAGCCCCTTCCTCGTGCCTCGGCGCCTGCGTTGGCTACACCTGCCCTCACCCCCTCCCCCGTCTCGGAGAGAGCGAACGAACGTCGGGCATTATTGTGCTCGGATCAGCGCCCGCCGCCCCCTCCCCCCGCGAGGAGACCCCATTTCCCCAGCTTCTCCTTGACGCTTCTTGTTTTCCCGGTGGAAGCCCTACCTGGGGCCTTAACCACCTCCCCCCCGCCACGGCCCAAGCACATGGAGAATTCTCTTTATTCTTCCCTATTATCCCCTCGGGAAGGCCGTCCCATATTCGATCCTTTGATCTTCCTCGGAGAGGCCTCTGCCTCTGGAGGACTCACCCCACTTCCATGCTGCATTTCTGCGGCCAAGCCAAGGAGAAACGGTCAAAATCCATTTATGGCATTTGCTGTGACCTCCGCACCTCTGGGCTGTAACCAGGCAAGGTGCCTCGCAGCCGTAAGGTGGCATCTTTCCCCCAGGCTCGCACCGCACCCCTTTACCCCAAGGCCCTCTGGTCGACCATTCTGCGGGCTGCGCTCCTTTTTGTATCGCTTTGATCTCAGCTGTCTTTAGATCATTCCTTGTAGGTTCTTCATCGGGAGCCTGCTAAGCCTCCCGTTCCTGATCTCCAAGTGGGGGGATCCCGTGAGGTCTTGTGAAGGATTTCCACTTCTGGAACACTTCTGGCCAGCTCCCTCAATCTGGGCACCTGGTGGCCTTTTTTTTGAAGAAGGGGGTTTGTCTTTAAGGGTCCTCGTTCACCTCAGCTCTTCCCTTGCCCAGGGTTTGGGTCCACAGAGCTCCTTCTCCTACCGCCTTGCGAACCCATTATCTAGGACACTGTTTTCCCATTGGGGTGAAGCCAGAGGGAGACCCCTCTGGGGTCAAATTTTTCTTTGTTACTTTTGATCCTCTTTGGACTTCAAGCCTGGAATGGTGGCAGAGACTTCCCTGATTTCCGTCTTCCTTCATTTTACCCTGAGGAGCCAGAGCAGAGATGCCTTCTTATCCCATGGGAGGAGAAGAGCCCCCTTTCTTTCACTTCTTTTGGGCCTTTTCTCCTGTAGAAGACCTCTCCGTCTTCATGCCCTTGGAAATGACTTTCTCCAACTCTTTTCCCGTGAAGTCCTGTAACGGGAAGGGTCTCGTCTTTGCCCTTGTAGTGGAAGGTTTCTGCCCTGGCTCCAGTTGGTAAGTTGAGTGTAGTGATTTTTTTTACCCACCCTTAAAAGCCTGTCCGTTTCTGCCTTGCTTCGCTCACGAGATTTCTTTCTCTTCAGTGCCTGTGGCCACCCTTGTCTCTTTATCTTAACTTATCCTGTCAACCTAAGTCTTCAGCTTTTTATCCTAAAACTTGTGTGCCCTCCGGGAACCACCTTATTCCGAGTCTGAAGGAAGCTCCCGACTGATCTCTTCTGTCATCTTTTCTGCATACTTTTCTAACTCAGAAGACTTTTTCTTCTAGCCTGCCTCCGTAGCATTTGTTTTCTTTGGCAAACGTCTCTAATTCCTTTCTGATTCTGATAGAATACGTTTGTCTCTTGTATCCTTTTTCCTCAAACTTGGGTTATCTCTGTTGAAATACCCTTCTTCCTAAGATTTTGGCCTCATTTCCCCCCAGTATCTTGTCCTTCATCTGGGTGTGTCCCACCTCTCACCTCTAGGTTCCAAGAAAAGCGATTCTTAAATTGAGTTTGAGACTGAGATACGATGTTTGCTTTTGTTCTAGGAAGCATAGGCACTAAGCATAGCTGGGAAAGATCGGTATCCAGTTCAGATTAACTGTGTGGGATGGATGGGAAGGGAGATGTTTTCCTTTCCACATATACGTGTCCGACACAAAATCTCTCTCAGAATCTTTCCCTTTTCCCCTGTGGGCTATGGCAGTGATAGACTTGGGTGAATTAGGGACAGGATGCTCAGAAAGTAGAGTTTGGAGTTGAGCTGAAAGCCAGCCAGGTGATGTGGATTTTGTGTTCTGGGCACGTTAGCATTTTCTGCCTCATGGCTCATTTGAAAACAACAATAAATCCCTAAATTCAGACTAATCTTTCTTCAACTTTTAGTGCCATGTAGATACTTACCATTCTGACCTTCCTACTGATTTAGTATTCATGACTCAGCAAACTTTGGTGTGGGTCAAGGAATGTTTACATTGCTTCTAGAATATAAATTTGGGAAGGCCCCTTTCTCCTCTCTCAGAATTGGGTCCTGTTGTTCATTTTTTTCCACGATAGCACTGCATATGTCAGATCTGGGATCTCTGTTACCCTGTAGCTATCCCACCAGCTCTTCCTTTCCTGCTGGTACCTAAATGTATCTTATTCTTTAAGTCGTACTCTCCCAAATGAAATATCTGTTCACCTTTCAGGGCACGATCATCCAACTTTCCGGACCTTAAGTGGATATCCACATTCCCATTCCTGTCTTAAGGAATATCGCATCCTCAGCTTCGACCTGTGGTTTTTACCCAGACCCCTCCTGCTTTTCTCCTAGAACTCCCTCCTTTCTTTTGAGATCCCAGGATTAGAAGATAGGGCGGAGGTGGGGACTAATTTCATATCTTCTAATTTAAGGAACCTGAGTATCTAGAAACCTTGGGCCGCTCTCCCTCTCTCTGGTCCTAGGCCCTGTAAGCCAAAGCCAGGATATGCCGCAGCCACTGAATTGAGTCATTCTTCGGATCTGGTTGGCTTTCTAGAGATTGACTCTCCTGCTCCTGCCCTCACCTGCTTATCTCCTTAATGAGCATGGACTGAGCAGAACTAGGAGCTCACTTTCTACCACTGGTGTCTTTTGAGGAAAAATATGGGTGATGTGGGTGAAGTTAAGGAGCAGAGACTGGACTGGAATACGAAGTTGAGGAGAAAGCTTGTGCTGCAGAATATGTGAAGGAAAAAGACCCTAGAAGTGTAAGAGTGTGTGGCGTTTGGTTGAACTGAGTAGTGTGAGGGAAAACTCCATTCTGAGCTCTGCATTTCTGCTTTGGGGATGGATCACGGTAGCTGGAGAAAACGGAGTGGTAGTGCTACCTCTGCCTGAGGGCCAACCCTAACATGTTGGGGGAGAATCGGATTAGAGTCCCAGACACGTCCTTTGTGAAGGAGTTTACCTGGGAGTGGGAATCTCTTCACAGAGGAGGCAGACAAGTGGTTCTCTTCTAACTCCTCCACTCCTTTTATCTCATCCCTGAGATGTTTTGAGAAAAGCTAATTCTCAAACTATTTTTCAAGTTTGGAGATAGACATTTTGGGGAAAGAATTGGATAAAGTCAGCAGAAGAAGCTGGTTGAAATGTTTCTAGAAATCCAGACAGACCCTCATAAAGGGAGAAAAGAAGAGGAGAGGGATGCCATGTTCGCGGTTATGGAAGGCAGGAGGAGGACGCTCAATGAGGAGCTAAGAGAAGAACCCAAAAAGGAAGAAGGACTGGGGCAAATAGTGAGGAGCAGAAGTGCAGAGTAGTGGGCAGCATATAGGTGCATCTGAACGAAGAGTGGAGGAAACCTGGGGAATGACCGGGGAAAGGAAAGCACGGAGGAGGAGGAGGAGGCCAGGCGCCAGGAGGACCGGACACCTTGGGCTGTAGTAAAGCTCTGGGTCGTGAGCTGGCAGAACAAGATCTGATTCTGAAAGAAGAGCAGGATGGCCAGCTGTTACCAAGAGTAAAATTTGGGTTTAGATTTTCCCACCGTGAGGAGATAGCAGTATGGTAAATTTACGTGTGACCAGTTCGTTGAGGTGGGAGTGACACAGGTGTGCGTTTGTCGTGTTTTCTCTCCTACGCTCAACTGCTGTGCCTACTTGCAGGGCTCAGGAATGGTTCTTGTGTGTTAGCCTTTTGGAACACCTACTTTTTTTATTTTAAAGATTCATTTAATTGAGGGGGGAAGGCAGAGAGAGAGAATCCCAAGCAGGCTCCCTGCAGACTCCCCGCTGAGTGTGGAGCCCAACACCCGGCTCCCCACGACCCCAAGACCATGACCTGAGCCGAAACCAAGAGTCAGACACTCAACCAGTGGAGCCACCCAAGTGCCCCAACCCCTCGTTTTTTGTTAACAGCTTTATTGAGATACAAACAATGAAGTACATGCATTCAGAGTATAGTTTGATAGGTTTTTGACGTAGATACCCGTTTACGTATCCCTGTAGATACATGTCATACCATCACCACAATTAAGATATTTCCATCACTCCCAAAAGTTCTGTCAACCACCTATCTGCTTTCTGTTAGTAATACATTAATTTGTACTTCCTGAATTTGACAAAAGTGAAAAGGCAGTTCAGTAGAGAAAGGGTAGTCTTTTCAACAAATGGTGTTCAAACTGGCTATCCATGGGTAAAAAACTAGCTTTGATCATATCTTGCACCATATACAAAACTTAAAGCAGATCATAGACCTAAGTGTAAAATAAAAACTATGAAACTTGTAGAAGAAATAGGAGAAAGCTTTGTGGTGTTGGATTAGGCAAAGATTTCTTAGATAGGAAACCAAAAGCTCAGTTACAAAAGAACAAATCGATAAACTGGACTTTCAGAATTAGCAATCCCTAATTTTGAGTATGTGAAAATTAGAGAAGGTGGAAAAATTGGGAGCATAGGATTGAGCACATAGCTTTGGCTTCTTCAGTGAGGACACAGACAGTAGGAAGTGGACGAGCTGTTCAGTCATCCCTGTTCTCTCCCACATCATCATCTCAATTTGGGGGTCTTTTTGTCTTTTTCAGATTCATAGTAGTGTGTCATAAGTCCAGCATTAAGAAATCTCACATCTCCGAAGTCCTGATTTTTCCTTCTGTAAATCGTGGTCATCGTTTTGAACTTCATCAGTGTTCTGAGTATTCATCTAGGACCCAGGCACGAAGGGCCCAAGTTTGCTCAGGCCTCTTGCTGTCGTTGGGGAGCTAGACCCTTCTCTCTTGGCGGATCCTGATGTCCTCTAGGTGTCCCAGGACAGCCTCACACTGTCTCATGGGATATTCTTAGCCTTGCTGAGTGTGGTTGGTATTTTAATTGAACTCTGGCAAGTTGCTCAGCATAACGGGAGGCTGACAGACAGGGAGGCCCCTGTGGGAGCCTTAGTAGACCCATCAGTTTCCAGGCTGTTCTCGTGCAGGTGATGTTTCCCCCTTCTGTTGAATTTGTCTCATCTTAGTTCTAGATTTTGCCACTTCTCTTTCCATGTCCATGTCATTTCCTTTGTCTCTACCTCAACGTTCATGTCTTTTCCCCAGCACAGGTTTTTCTGGCCCTATTTTAGATTGCTTGTGTCCCGGTCTAAAACTCGAGGTAATGGTCTCTGTTTCTGTTCCGTTGATGGTGGTAAATTGTCATTTTCTTTTTTTCTTTCTTTTTTTTTTTTCTTACTTTGTTCTACAATCCATTCTAGGGCTTTGTGAAGGATGTCCATGAAGACTCTGTTACCATCTACTTTGAAAACAAGTAAGACCTTGGGAATAGAGAATCCAGCATACTAGATCCTACAAGGAGGGTGGAGAGGAGGGGGCGGCTGAGTCCTATGAGGCATGTAATAGGTGGGGAGAGCCAGAGCTTTGGGTGGTCAACTTAGGTGGATCCCAGGAGAAGAACGGGCTGAAATTTGGTGAGAGTGGGGGACTTTTGACCTAGTATTAGGTTCTAGCAAGAGAGAAGACACTGCTCTGGAGCAGGGCCTGGGATTTAGCCTCTAATCACCGGGGAAGGTGGAAGTTGCCCGGCGGAGGCAGTAACCCCTTCCTGAAGAAATGGACAACCACGTTAGCCCGAATAGCTTTCATGTCACTGTTTCCCTTGGCAGCTGGCAGAGTGAGAGGCAGATTCCTTTTGGGGATGTCCGGCTACCACCTCCAGCTGACTATAATAAGGAGATCACAGAAGGGGACGAGGTGGAGGTAAGGGCCACGGGCTCCACCCTTTCTAAATGTCACTTTACCCAGGATTGCGTCTCCCTTGCCCTGATACTAGTACCCTAGGCTCCTCGCCGGTTTGTTCAGTCTCCCTCCCCGCGCTAAGCTACTGTGCCCAGCCTGGTAGGCTGTGGAAGAGAGAGATGCACCGGTTCTCTGTCTGTCGCTGTTGTGATCAAACTCCCGGGAGCTTCCCAGTTTTAGGGGAGTCACCTTCTCTCTGTTTATGGGGACAGCACCCTCTGGTTTTGTTTTTGTTTTTTAAGATTTCATTTATTTGACAGACACAGTGAGAGAGGGAACACAAGCAGGGGGAGTGGGAGAGGGAGAAGCAGGCTTCCCGAGGAGCAGGGAGCCCGATGCGGGGCTCGATCCCAGGACCCTGGGACCATGACCTGAGCCGAAGGCAGACGCTGCCGACTGAGCCACCCAGGCGCCCCCACCCTCTGGTTTTTAATCCACTCCTTCCTTGAGTTTCCTTTGTTTCTATGTAATGTGCCTCCTAAGTGTCTGAATGCCTGTTCTGGTCTGATGTTTTTGGGTGGTCCTCAGTATCTCTTTTATTTTCACCTTCAGGTATATTCTCGAGCCAACGAGCAGGAACCTTGTGGCTGGTGGCTGGCCCGGGTGCGGATGATGAAGGGAGATGTGAGTGATGGGAGGCACACGTCCTAGTCAATGAAAGGGGGGAGGCAGACGTTCGGTCATCCACACTTGTTTCTTCCCTTCTCTCTTTCTGCCAGTTCTATGTCATCGAATACGCCGCCTGCGATGCCACTTACAACGAGATTGTGACCCTGGAACGGCTCCGGCCAGTGAATCCCAATCCCCTGGCAACCAAAGGCAGCTTCTTCAAGGTTACCATGGCTGTGCCTGAGGATCTGAGAGAGGCGTGAGTTAGGGATGTTGGGGTGGGGGCCCCCTTGACGATCCTCCTGTCTGCCCTTCTTCTCCAGGCCCCACTCCTACTGTCAGTCTTCCCCCCTGTTCCCTTGGGCCTCCAGAGCCCTTCTGGCTCCCAGTCCCTCGCTTTATTCATCCCTGTTCTCTCACTGCGGTCCTTCCTCTTTTCTCATTTTTGTGGTCCCTGTCTCTCCCCCGAACCTTTGCCCGCTACACTGTGCCCACGGAGCATTCTTCTCTTTCTCGGCAGCTGCTCCAACGAAAACGTCCATAAAGAGTTCAAGAAAGCATTGGGAGCGAACTGCATCTTTCTCAACATCACAAATAGTGAGCTCTTCATTCTGGTGAGTTACCTGCCTGACTTGCACCCAAACCCCTGCAGCGATTTTTCCTTCTCCCTATTGAACTCCTTGCAGAAAGGAAGGAGCTCAGATGTGCTTCTATTTGTCAAAGAAGGCTTTTTATGGCTCCTAACCCCTGTGGGCCCAGGTAGCCCCACGTTCCCTTAGTCTTCCCTCATGTCTGACCTTAATTTATTTTTTTTAGCCTGGCCATCATATCTTACAGTCTGGGCTGGACCCTCCCTTGTGTATTTGGACTCTCAGAAAATAGACTACAGTTCTCACCTCAGCCTGCTGCCTAAAATCACTTCCCTTAGTTGCCCAGATGGTAGGCCCTTGTGAGACTGATGATGATTTTCCTCCTCTCGCTTCATTTCTTAATTCCTGTCCTTTTCCAGAGACTCGGGCATCCTGATTCCCAGCTCCTGGCTCTTCCCCAGTGTGTATTCAAAGTCCGTTTAGTGACTTTTCCATTGGTTTCTTCCCAGTCGACCACAGAAGCTCCTGTGAAGCGGGCATCCCTGCTGGGTGACATGCATTTCCGAAGCCTGCGCACCAAACTGCTACTCATGTCCCGCAATGAAGAAGCTACCAAGCACCTAGAGGTAAATTTGAGCTCTACTTTTTGCTGCGGAATGGTATTGTTGTCGTCCCCCCTTCCTGTCCCATCCTCCACCCATGCTCTTGTGTTTACAGAACAAAAAGACCAACGTCTTTCTGGGCCATTAAACCTGGGTCTGCTATTTTATCCCAGACTCCTCCAGATGGCAGAGCTCCATCGTGTTATAATAGTACAGTTTTCCAGTTTTTTTCTTAACCATGGGACCCTTTGATCAAGTGAAATTTTACTTGAAAGCACGATGCCTAAACAGATCAATCAGAGCAGCTCTGTCTAAAAGTGGAAGAGGCGGGTGTGGCCCTGACCTCCACTGGCCTCCCCCAGATCACCTCTGAGATTCAAACTGCTTTGCAGGGTATATTTGAGAACCATTTGTACGCTGGAAAGACCACTGGACTTGAAATCCCAAGTCTCGCTTTGTCAAATATTGACCTTTGGCAGAGCATTTGGTTTCACTGAGCTTTAGCTCTGTCTGTGAGAATGAGGTAGTTAGACTAGAATATTTCCACGAGGTCTTTTTGAGTTCTGATGTCTTAAGGTGGTCAGATTCCCTTTTCTTAGGTGTCATACCGTCCTACACAAGTAGGGTGTGTGTGCGTCCATCCATTTCCATTTATCAAGAGAACTGATCTTTTGGGGAGGCTCTTCTCTGAGCCTGTGCAAATTGTGGAGCATGGTGATCTTCCACTTCTCCAGGGATGCCACTACTCAGGGCGGTGGCAGTTAAAAATTCACCCTCACCCCGAGATGGTATGAAGTACGTCTGCTCCGGTTCCCAATGAGCAGATTCCCTGGTGGCCGAAGCTAGACTTCAGCTCTCCTAGGCCCTGGTTTATTGATCAGTGTGGTGAAGAGTGCCAGATATGGGGCGCCTGGGTGGCTCAGTCGGCTGAGCATCTGACTTGATTTTGGCTTAGGTCCTGATCTCAGGGTCGTGAGATCGAGCCCCGAGTTGTACTCCATGCTCAGCGCAGAGCCTGCTCATGAGTCTCTCTGTCCTTCTCGTGCACGCTCCCTCTGCCCTCTCGTTCTCTCAAATATATAAATAAAATCTTTTAAAATGTGCAGATAGCTAAGTTAGCCGTAAGTGCAAAGTCTGTTTTTGAGAGAGCTTGTTCTTTTTTTTTTCCCCTAATTTTTTAAAATTACTTTGAAATGTTGCCTGTGTAAAGGAAAAAGATAACAAAACAGGTACCCTTGTACCCATCAGGCAGTTTAAGAAATTCAGCCCTGGGGGCGCCTGGGTGGCTCAGTTGGTTGGGCGACTGCCTTTGGCTCGGGTCATGATCCTGGAGTCCCGCATCGGGCTCCCTGCTCGGCGGGGAGTCTGCTTCTCCCTCTGACCCTCCCCCCTCTCATGTGCTCTCTCATTCTCTCTGTCTCAAATAAATAAATAAAATCTTTAAGAAAAAAAAAAAAAAGAAATTCAGCCCTGGGTAAACTTCTCTAGAGGATGTTTGTAAATCATTGTGCATCCTCTCCCTCCCTCCCTTAGTTATTTGAACACCCAGTGTAGTCCCTTTTTGTCTGCTTTTTCTTCTTGCCTCATGTAAGCCTTCGCCGTAATGTAGTCCCTTCTGTCTTGTAAGTAGGAGTAGTGGACTGGAATCGGGAATGTCCCCTTTCAGATAGCTCTCCTGTTTGGTGCTTCTACCTAGGACTCCCTCTTCCAGAACCCTCCCCGTCTTCCTGCCCTTGTGCCCAGCTATCTAAGGCCTGGCCGAGAAATGAAGTGGCAGTGTGTTGTTCCATAATGGGCTCCTTTTATGCTTTTCTCAGCCCCTTGCTTTCTGTTCATTATTTTGGGAGCTGATACTAGTTTGGTTAAGATAATCATAGTTTCTTACTTTTGCATTTATCTTGGGAAAGGGTTTTTCACACCTTATTTAATCCTTATTTAATCATTATTATAACCTTATTTAATCTCCTGAGAGTTTGGGGGCGGGGTAAGTCCGGTGTAATCGTTTAGCAGATGACAGAATAGAGACCCTGAGAGTGTGTTGTGTTCAGGATCGCATAACCAGATAGTGTTAGAACCACATCCAGAACTGTGGTGGCTCCAGCCCAAACTCTGCCTCATGTGCTTCCCCTCCCCGCCAAGCCATTGGTGTTTGCCAGGTAGGGGGTGGACGGAAAGGTTCCTGAATTCTCTGTACGGGTCCCCGTGGTCGGATCCAGGGTGGTTCTGGCTTGTTTTCACACATTTTTCTCTCCTTGAGGTCCTGCAGTGTCAGGTAGGTACCTGGGACAGGTGTCTGGGGTTCCACCACCACAAACCTCACTGTGCCTTTTCCTTTCAGACAAGTAAGCAGTTGGCAGCCGCCTTTCAGGAGGAGTTCACCGTGCGAGAAGACCTGATGGGACTGGCCATTGGGACTCACGGTGCCAACATCCAGCAGGCCCGAAAAGTACCCGGGGTGACGGCCATCGAGTTGGGTGAAGAGACCTGCACTTTCCGCATCTATGGGGAGGTCAGCGAAAGACAGCTGTGGTTTAGGTCCCTTGGGGGAAGAGCGAGGCGAGTGTTCGGTGGACCTCCCTCCCTGACTTTGGTGGCAGCACATGTTCCCAAAGGCAGAGAGAAGCAGGAGGATCAGGGTCTGAGTAACAACCCCCCTCCTCTCCTCATAGACTCCTGAGGCGTGCCGACAGGCCCGGAGCTACCTTGAGTTTTCGGAGGACTCCGTGCAAGTGCCCAGGAACCTTGTTGGTGAGTTGCGGGTGTGTACGCATAGGAGGGAGTGTGGGGGGGGCCAGGTGTGAGATCCCCTAAAGCTGTTCTGGGCTCGGCAGCCCCCCGGGGACTTCCAATTTCATGAGGACAGAGCAGTCTGTCGGAAGAGTGACAAAAATGGAAGAACAGATTTCTCTGGATTGTAGTATTTTGTCCTGAGAACTCACGAGAAACTTAGAAGCAAGAGAATAATTATACAGAATCCATATATAGGAGCTGGAAGACTGTTTATCTTACCTGTTTTTACTCTTTAAAAGAAAAAAAAAAGCCTAATTTCTCCTTTACCCATTCAGGCAAAGTGATTGGAAAGAACGGGAAAGTGATCCAGGAGATTGTGGATAAATCTGGTGTGGTGAGGGTTCGAGTAGAAGGTGATAATGACAAGAAGAACCCCAGGGAGGAGGTATGGGGCAGCTGCATCCAGAGACTGGTTTCCAGAAGCAGATGGCATTGTTCTCTTGTTCTCCTCTGGGGGCTGGGATTTCTAGAGGGCGGAGGATGGGGTTCCTGGGGGGTGGGGGACGGGAACTTCTGTGTCCCCCTAGTATTGCAGAACCCAGAATGATCCCGCTGGGTGAGCTTCCGTAGGAGGCAGGGTGGAGTTGGTACTTGCCTTGACTCCTCTCCCGCTAACCGTGCCCGTCCTCTCTGCTCTGCAGGGGATGGTTCCTTTCATATTCGTGGGTACCCGGGAGAGTATTAGCAACGCCCAGGCCCTGCTGGAATACCATCTCTCCTACCTGCAGGTACCCAGGCCGGAAGCCGGGGAGCGGAAGGGTGTGGGTGTAGCAAGGAGGCAGAGGCTGCTGGCGGATGAAGTTAGGAGCAGTGGTGCCCAGTTTGAGGAGAACGGAAACCACGGAGTGGAGATTTGGGGCTGTGGGGTTGGATCCCATAATGTTCTTCGTTTAGCCAGTGTCTTTCTCCCGTTCCTGAGAGTTTAGGTCGCTAGGGGCGGTCAGGGCCAAGGAGCACGAGTGAGGGAGGAGTGTTGTGGGTCTCGTCACTCCTTCGGTACCTCTCCACCTTCTGCCCGACCAGGAGGTGGAGCAGCTCCGCTTGGAGAGGCTGCAGATTGATGAGCAGCTTCGGCAGATTGGGCTGGGCTTCCGCCCTCCCGGGAGTGGGCGGGGCAGCGGTGGCAGCGACAAGGCCGGATACGCCACGGACGAGAGCTCCTCGTCCTCCCTCCACGCTACGCGAACCTACGGGGGCAGCTACGGGGGCCGCGGCCGGGGCCGGAGGACAGGCGGTCCCGCCTATGGTAAGACGACCGTGGGCCTTGTGGGGAGAGGCCCAGGCCTGGGTGGAGTCTCGAGGAAAGGGTGACAGCCACGTTGAAGGTGGGACTGGCTGGGGGATGGATCCTGGGGTGGGGTGAGTGACCCGGATTGAAGCCCAGCGTGTCCTTCAGGCCCCAGCTCGGACCCATCCACAGCTTCTGAGACCGAGTCAGAGAAGAGGGAGGAGCCTAACCGAGCTGGGCCAGGTGACCGGGATCCCCCAACCCGGGGGGAAGAAAGCCGGAGGCGGCCGATTGGGGGCCGGGGTAGGGGACCCCCACCTGCCCCCCGGCCCACCACGAGATACAACGCTTCATCTATCAGCTCAGGTACCGGTATCAGACGGCTGGGTTTGTGGATGCAGGCCGAAAGGAAGGATGATGGACGCCCGATAACCACCTTCTCTTCCTCTGACCAGTGCTGAAAGATCCAGACAGTAATCCCTACAGCCTACTGGACACATCTGAACCAGAGCCCCCAGTTGACTCAGAGCCTGGGGAACCCCCCCCAGCAAGTGCCAGGCGTCGCCGCTCCCGCCGCCGCCGCACGGATGAGGACCGGACTGTCATGGATGGAGGCCTGGAATCTGATGGGCCCAGCATGACAGAGAATGGTCTGGGTAAGGGCTGTGCCTGGGCCTGAGAAGGGAGAGCTGGGCAGGAATTGAGGTGTACGGGGCATTAGATGCACCGCTTGGGTTTTCTGTGCCCCACAGAAGATGAGTCGAGACCCCAGCGTCGGAACCGGAGCCGCCGCCGCCGTAACCGTGGGAACCGGGCGGATGGTTCCATCAGTGGAGACCGTCAGCCAGGTCAGCGAACACTGGGTGCCGGCATCCTTCCCCAGAGTGGAGAGAACGGGGTGCCTTTTGGTGGGGGTTGGGGCTTGGTGGGTGTCCAGGAGCTGGATACCCGCTTCCTTCTGAAACTCTCGGTCCTCTGCCTCGCGCAGTGACCGTGGCGGACTATATCTCCCGAGCCGAGTCGCAGAGCCGCCAGCGGCCCCCCCTGGAACGCACTAAAGCCTCAGAGGACTCTCTTCCAGGACAGAAGGTAGGCAGGCGGGGTGTCGTTTACCCCACCGCGTTGCCTCCAGGGCCAGGGGGCGCAGGGAATTCGCAGAGAAGCCGGTGTCCGATGGAGTTTAGGCTGCGTGTGGAATAGAGAAGGTTTGGCTAGGGCAGGGAAGTTTGGTTCGGACTTTGCGGGTGCCTGTAAGAGCCCCGAGAGCGGCAGGTCAGCCGCCAGGAGCACTAGGATGGCGGGGGGATGGCATTACCTGGATCTCTGCTGACCGGCTTCCTTCCTTCCTCTCCCGTTTTTCTTCCCCACTTCCCCTCAGGGCGACTCTGTCAGCAAGCTTCCTAAGGGCCCCTCAGAGAATGGGGAGCTCTCCGCCCCCTTGGAGTTGGGTAGTTTGGTGAACGGGGTTTCATAAAACCTCCAGCCTGCATCCCTCCCTTCTCCATCTCGCTTGCTGCCCAACACCATGGCCCTCCCAGGCCCGACTGACCTGCGCTGGAGCTGCTCTTATCTAGGGGGGAGGGGGGTGGCACAGCAGCTTGGGTCCCCCCTCAACCTCCAGGAGCTAGTGGAGGGGTGTGTAACAGGGTCATACCCCCCCCTCTTGTCCACCCTTCCCCAGGGTGAGGGAGCCTCTCTCCTTCCCCATCAGACTGGATGTGCCTTTATCCTCTAATGCCCCGATCTCTCTGAACACCCCCATTCTCCGCCTGCTGGTGCGGGGTGCTCCTTGACCCACCCGGATTTGACCGTTCAGGGGGGCTCCCCTGCTATCCCTCCTCCCATCCTGTACCCCCCATTTCTGGGGCCTCATCACTGTGGAAGACGGGGATAGTAAGGGTATACGTGGGTGGGAGGCATGGGGAAGGTTTTGGAGTAGAACCAGGGGTGTGTATGAAGGGGGGTGACAAGGTCCCCCGGGGGAGGGGGGGACCAACCTTGTCTGGTGGATGAGAAGGCGTATTTATTTTTCACTGTACAGTATTTAAAAAGAGAATAAAAAAATCCAAATGGCTCTGTGGTTCCTGCACCTTCCTTGTCCCCAGTTGGGTCCAGCAGTTTCTCTAGGATTGACCTGTCCGGGCCTTGTTTCCTGTTTCTCCCCACCTGGCTTCTCTGGTGTTCCAGAGATTGTCCACTTCTGGGAATTCCTGGCATTCCTCTGTGTCCCCCCGGTCCAGGTCCCTTTCTAGTCCGGAGGCCAGTGGCCTGTGGCTTGCTGCTTCTCCCCTCCCCCAGGTGTGCCGGTAGAGGGAGCGGGGCCCCTCCTCTCCCCTGAGTCACCGCGGGCTAGGTAGGGCTGCCCCGGGCTGGAGCCGTTCCTGCTCAGAGCTGAGAGCCAAGGCCGGCTGCCTAATCCGATTACCCGAGGCCTGGGGCTTGGGCTGGGCCTGGGGCTGAATGGGGAGCCGGGCTCCCCGGAGACAGCCTCTGAGACTTGGGTGTCCGGCCCTCGTTGCTGCTGGCTCTCCGCGCTGGGTCCAGGCCGCTTCTCAGGCACCCACAGTGCTGACCGCTGGGCCCCCGGGGGGTGGGGGCCCAGGGGAGCCCGGGCTTCGGGCTCCCTGCCTTCAGACTCGGTTTGCAGATAGCACCTGCAGTGGAGAAACCGAGGTTTGGGGGCTGGAGTTGGGAGGGCTTAAGTTTTCTCACCTGGAGGAAGGGGCTGAATCACCACCTAAGCACCTGCTGGGATGACTCAGGAAGCAAAAATGGACTGCCTCCTGACTGTCTTGGCCCAGGGGCAGGTCAGGGCTTTGAGGAGCAATAGGCACAAGAAAAGGGTTTGGGGTAGGGGGTGGGGTGTTCCCAACTTCCTCCTAGCTCCATTGTGACCCTGAGGGCTTTTGATTCCCCAGTGCTTGATCCCATTGTGCAAAGGAATTGACTTTAAATTGCCAAAGCTCCCGAAGGGAGGGGAAGGCGTTCAGAGCTCCTGGCGCTGGAAGGCTTGACATCTGGGTCTTGGGTGGGGAGGGGGCGTGGTGCCCCGAGGGGAGTGGTGGGGGCTGGGAACAACAGGACACCTGGGCTTGCCTAGGGGAGGGGGACGTCGGCGCCCGTCGGGAGGCGCGGCCTGCGGGGAGGGAGTGGGGAGGAGTCTGGTTAAAAGCTGTTCCCGGGCCTGGCCCACCCGCCAGCCACAGACGCTGAGGCCAGGTGAGAGGGGCGGTGGCGGCCGGGCCCCGGGACTGCCCGGGACTGCTCGGAGGCCGGGCGCGCCTCGGCGGAAGGCGGGCTGGGCCGGCACCTGGCGGCATCCGGGAGCGGCGAGCGCAGTGTGCGCGGTGCCGGGGTACCGGGCAGCGGGTCGGGCGCCGGCTCTCCAAAGTGCCTGGCTGGCTGGGAGCAGGGGCTCCGTTCTCAGGACTCTGAACTTGGGGACGACACCCACTTCTATAAGGACACGAGGTCTCTGGAACGACTGCAGACTGGGAAGAGCCTTGCGTTTTAAGGACACCGCGTGTGGGCATCGACGCTCCGCTTTGGAGGGGAGGGCGCGGAGGACGCCCTCGCAAGGCTTCCCTCCACCGCCCCCCCCCGCCCCCATGGCCCTTCCTGGCCCTTCCCACGCCCAGGTCTGGAGCCTGGAGCCTCCTGCTCCCACGGCTCCTGCCAACCCGGCCTCGGGCTGCCCGGAGCGGGAGGGCGCCGGGAGCCCGGGGGCGTCCGGGGGGCTCCCCCTGGAGAAGGTGAAGCGGCCCATGAACGCGTTCATGGTGTGGAGCTCCGCGCAGCGCCGCCAGATGGCGCAGCAGAACCCGAAGATGCACAACTCGGAGATCTCCAAGCGCCTGGGCGCGCAGTGGAAGCTGCTGGGCGAGGACGAGAAGCGGCCCTTCGTGGAAGAGGCCAAGCGGCTCCGGGCCCGGCACCTGCGCGACTACCCCGACTACAAGTACCGGCCTCGGCGCAAGGCCAAGAGCTCGGGCACCGGGCCGCCCCACTTCGGCCCGGGGAGCGGCGGCGTGGCTGCCGGCGGGCCGGTCTGGGGGCCCGGGTACGCGAGCACGCAGGGGAGCAGAAGCTTCGGGTACCAGCCGCCCAACTACTCCGCAGCCTACCTGCCCGGCGGATACGGGTGAGCGCCTGGGGGGCGGGCTGAGGCTCCGGCAGGGGCCACTCCGGGGGGACCTGGGGGGCGGGGGTTAGCGCCCCCCCCCCCCCGGCCGCCCAGTGCCCCGCCGGGGTGGGGGCGTTCTGGTGGCCCCGGGGTTCCCTGGAGGCCGTTTCCATCCCAGCCCGGCAGTGGCGGCCCCCAGGATGCGATCCTGTTCTAGTTACCCGAATTTCCCGTTTCCTCCCCGCTTCTGGCCCTCCTGTGACCCGGCTTCCCCTCCCTGCCCGCGGGGCAAGGAGAGGCCCGGCCGACTCTGCCCCTTCCTGGCCTGCCGAAAACAGGCGCGACACGCAAGCCCGTTCCAGAGCGTGCCCTGACACGGCCGCGCCCCGGTTCCCAAGCCGCCGTGGGGTCTGGTCCCCAACCTGCGCTACCCGGTGGAGCCCGGACAGCCAGGGACCGGTGGCCGGGTGACGGCTGGGGCCAGAGGTGGTCCCACCCAGCCCCACCTGTGCGTGGGGGGCGCCGCCGGCACCTCCCAACCCGGGAACGGGCTCTAACCCCAGTATCTCTCTCTTTGCAGCTCTTCGCACTGCAAACCAGAGGCCTCCTCGCCGTGCTCCCTCCCTCAGAGTAACCCCAGGCTCCAGGGAGAGCTGCTCCCCCAGTACAACCCCTGCCTCCCCCCAAGCTCTCCCGCCCCGTACAGCCCTCCCCTGCTGGGGCCCCCCCTGCCCCTGACCCACCTCTAACCCTCGTGGACATGGACCTCCCAGGAAGGGCTCCCCCTCCTTTGTCTTCACCCTGAACTCCCCCCCCAGGCTGCAAACCCTTCTTTAGAACTGTGTTGGACCCCAGTTCAGAGGAGGCCTGGGCCACCGTCCCCTTCCCCCCCCTCCCCCTCCGCCCCACAAAACATTTTTTTTTTGTAGGATGAACACAGTTTTTACAATTAAACCCTGTCTCGGAGTCTTTATTGCCCCATGTCCGTTCCCCCCTCACTGCAGCAGGAACCAGCAGTCTCCACTCCCTTCCGCCTGGACCTGCCAGAGCAGGAACCTCCTCACCCCACCCTGGGGCCCTGCCTGAGTCATTCTCCAGCCCCCCCGCCCCCCACCCAGCACTGGGGGCCTGGAGACCGTCCCACCCAGGCTCGGGGAGGGGGGCGGCCCCAAGCCCCCAGTTGCTTCCACCGGCGGCTCTGCCCTCCAGGGCCACAGGGAAATGGGAGGGGGAGGGCAGGGCCGACTTGGGCCCCAGAAAACCTAAAGAGCTGGGAATGGCCGCTGGGGAGGAGTCTGGGGCGAACGATTCGGCGAGTTAACCTTCCGCGCACAGGGCAGTGGTGTCGGCCTGAAAGCCCTACCCCCATGCTCTCCCAGGATCCGCGGTCCCCCTAAAACCCAGGCTCGAGACTTTCACAGTTGCAGAGGGATGAAGAAGGAGGGGTCCCGCCAGCAGACTGGTTCGGGTGGGAACGACCCTGAGGTTGGGGGACGACGGGAGCAGGCGCTCCAGCAGCCAGCTCAGCCCTACTCTTTCTTCTCGCGGCCGGGCTTTGCGTCCCAGTAGAAGAGGAGCTGGGCAGCGATGAGGCCGTTGCAGAGGGAGGAGACCATGAAGGTGCCCGCCATGAGGGGGTCTCCGGTCTCCTGCGGGACAGACGGCAGGGGTCCCAGACAGTGTTCAGAGGAGGAGCAGCGTGCAGTCCGCGGCGGAGCGAGGGCCGGGCTTTAGTGCCCCCTAGCGGGGAGAAGGGGCACTCACCTGAATGGAGGTGAAGATCCTGGCCAAGGAGCCCCCGAAGAGCAGAAAGACGGTGACGGCGGAGAGCTGGCCCGTGTGCCCGTTCCGGTAGTTCGTGGCGGCCTGGAGCAGCTGGGGGAGAGGTTGAGAACCTTCGTTCCGCCGTCTGAACTCCTCACACACTTGCTCTGCTCACCCCCCCCCCCCCCCAGCATCCTTCCCTCGCTCCCAGCCCTCACCCGCCCCACGACCACCGCAGGCACGTTGGAGGCCTGGAGCAGGGTGATGAGAGCCCGGGGCGTCAGTGGGGACAGCAGCAACAGCAGGGCCAGCGCATAGCACGTTAGGAAGGTGACACCTGGGGGTCAGGGAGGTAAGGAGCCCCGATGAGCCTCTCCGGTCCTTGGGCTTCCCCAGGCCGGAGTTCCCAACAGGGCCCCCAAGAGCCACCCCCCCAGCACCTTTCACCGTCTGTCCTCCGTAGTGCAGGACCAGGAAGCAGATGGTGACTGTCTGGAGCATCAGGAACAGGGCTTCACCCCAAGAGCTGCAGAGTCAAGAGTGGGGAGGGAGAAAGGCGGGCCTGGGAAGAGGTAGGGAAAGCCTCCATGGCCCGTCCACCTGGGGCCACGGTTTGCTGATGCTCCCGGTTGTCCGCAGCCCCGACCTGCGGGGATAGACCGATGGACTCGGTCTAGATCTTGGGCATCCTCGGGATGCTCTCCTCCTCATCACGTCCACGGAAGACGGCCAGATTTCCAGAAGGGCTTGAGCTTTGCCTCCCTTTTACCTGCCTCGCCCTGACCCCCACTAGACGTGTGCACATTCACCCTTGGGGATCAAGGGCGGGCTCCCTCACCTGAAGGGAAAGTTGTTGGTGATGCTGTAGACCATGGTCCCCGTCAGCGCCATTAGCTCAAGCATTACTGACTGAAGGCTCAACCCTTCGGCACTCTTGGCTCTCAGGATTTTAAACACCTGCGGCAGTTTTACTAGAGAAAGGACGAGAAGGGCAGGGATGAGGAGCGAGCGTCCCTCAGGAGCAGCGTACCACAGCCAGGGAGTGGACTGGGAAGCCTGTTAACTCCACTTCCGGTTAAGGGACCCACCCAGCTTCCGGCATCTCAGCTCTCCGCCCTCCTCCTGACACAGGGAGAGAGAAGGTACGTACCCAGCAGTGACCCAGCCACGATGCCCAGACCCAGGCCTTTGCTGAGGAGAATCTTGAGGCAGGGGACTGAGAAGGGAAAAAGGAGTAAACAGAACTTCTGGACGCCTCTGGAACCCCGCCCAGGGCTAAAGGCTTTTCATGCTGCTGTGGGTTGTCGCTGCTCCTTAAGACGTGGACAAACGCACACAAGGAAGCCCGGGGCTGTCGGGGCCTGGGCCTTCCTGCTCCCAGTCCTATCGCTGTTCTCTGACTTTCCAAAACAGCCTTTACCATGCGGATTACATCTAAACTGCTTGGTGTGGGGCGCCTGGGTGGCTCAGTCGGTTGAGCTTCTGCCTTCGGCTCAGGTTGTGATCCCAGGGTCCTGGGATCGAGCCCCGCGTCGGGCTCCCCGCTTCTCCTCCCTGCAGCTCCCCCTGCTTGTGCTCTCTCCGTCAAGTAAATAAAAAATCTTTGGGGGAAAAAAAAAACTCGTAAAGCTGAGCAATGCCCACGAGTCCTCGGATCCTTCATTCCCCTCCTCTGAGCAACCCGGGGGATCCGATCCACAGGTCTTCCCAGTGCAAGGACAGGTCTCCCGATACACTCGCTCCTGAACCCTCTGTCCCAAGCCCCCGCTCACAGACCTCATGTTACCCTTCAGGGCCCCCACACCTCCTCCAGCCCCGGGAGCTCGGCCCAGTGGGAGTCGTGAATTCGACCCAGTCGGTCCCAGGAGCACAGTGGGGGACCGGGACCGGGCAAGGGCAGGCTGGGCAGGCCTCCCACGGGACCTGGCGTCTGCAGGGGGCTTCGTGTGGACCTGCCACGCAGACGGAGGCCTGCAGGCAAGTCCCCCCAGGCTTAGACCACGAGCAAACGTGGAGGGCGGAAGGCGCCTCTGGAGGGAGCCCGATGCGGGGCTCGATCCCAGGGCCCCGGGGGGTCATGACCCGAGCCGCAGGCAGACGCCTAACCGACTGATCTACTGGAGACTGGAACGATTTGGTCCGATTTTAACTTTGTCTTGTGCGGTTTCAAGTCTGTCCATCTTTTACCACCACAAAGAAGTAGCGGGGCCGCCGCCGCCCGCGGACCCCTCCCCGGCCTCCCGCCCAAATATGGCGAGCCCCCCTCTATGGAGGCCGAGACACTTCCGCCCCCTTCCGGAGTGACTTCCGCCCGGCTCGGCCCGGGAGGGGTCGGCGCCGCCGCGCCGCCTGGGCCGCAGTCACGCACCACTGATGGCCCGAGGGCGCTCCAGCAGAGCTTTGGTAGGATGCCGAATAAAGCTCACCGTGAAGCAAGTCCCACTGGACGAAAATTTGGTCGTAGCATTCCTCAGGTAAGAGAAGCGGCACCAGCGCCCGTCTGAGCGGGCCATCTGCCTCGGCCGCCATGTTGCCAAATTAGCTTCCGCCTGTCTCTCCGGGCCGCCATTGACCGACGCTGCGCATGCGCGCTCTGGGCCCTCCGCCCCCCTGTTCCCCGCTCTTTCTAACGCCACCCCACCTTCAGCAGCGTGAAATAGGTCTCGGCGAGAGACCGAGTTTCGGAAGCACCCTCCCTGTTCGAATTTTACGGCGTGCTAAAGCTCTGCGCCTGCGCAGTTCCCTCCATCGCGCCTTTGTTTACGCTCCCGGTTCGGAGGCCGCGCTGAGCCTCCTGCCTTTCTGCGCGGCGCCATCTTGTCTGCCCCCGGCCGACTCCACGTTGTTCGAAGTTGAGAGAGAAGGAGCCCGAGTCTCCGGAAGGGCGTTCAGTGGGGGCGCCGTGGCTCCCTCTCTCCTGTTGTCTCGGCGTCTCCCGAGGGAAGGGCGTCGGCGGGAGCAGGGCCGCCTGCTCCAGGCAGCCCTCCGGCGGCGCTGAGCTGCGCGCAGGCCCACGTGCCTCCCTCCCCGGCTCGCCCGGGGCCGTGGCGGTTGGGTGCGCCCGCAGCTGCTGGGCCGGGACGGGGGAACGGCCGAGGAACCCCCCAGGCCCGAGGGTTCCCCCCACGCCGCCGGCGCCTCCGCCCTCTGCGGCCGAGAGGCCGGCGTGGACTGCGATGCCCTCCGCCCCCCGCGCTGGGACCCCAGCTCGCAGCCATCCCGGTGGCGGCGGGCCTGGCCGCTACGCCCCGGTGGCCCGGCGGCCCGGCGCCCGCTGCAAGGACCACGCCATCGGGCAGCAGGTCTCTGCCGGTTAGCGAGGTCACACGGGATGTCCGGGACGCGGTGGGGCGGGCCTCCGCCTTACCGGGCCCCCGCGGCTGGAAGGGCCGCATCTGGCTTCCCGGCGATCGCGCCGCCCTGGGGCGGCCACGCACTCCCTCTGGGTACACCCCCGGGGCCGGGGCCCGGGCTGGAGGCCTGCTGTTCCTGGGGGAGCCCAGGGTGACTGGGGGTGGAGGTGACAGTCCCCACGGCTGCCACGGCTGGGATAGGAGCGTCCCTGGTGCGGGGAGGCTTTCATCGGCGTGTTCACCCGGCCTTGGACGCGGAGGGCAGAGCGGAGCGCTCTTGTTGCTGAGGAGCTCCCACAGGAAGGTGTCACCTTCCCACCCACACTCATTGGCCGTTGCTGCCTGTTCCCCTGTGACTGCGAAACTGGCTTGGAGGGCAGGGGGTCCTGGAGCGGCCAGACGCCCGGGAAGAGGAGGAAGGGGGGCGAGGCAGATGCGACACCAGCCGTGCTAGGCTTTGGGGGATGAGCCCACGAGGGCACGTGGCCACACATGACGGTCTCGCTCCCTGAGACTCAACCACGGACGGCGCAGAAAGGCGTGTGACCGACACTCACGGCTTTTAATCCTGCCCAGAAGGACAGGGAAAACCGAGGACAGAGGTTGGAGCAGGTTTTAGTATTCTGGGGCTGGGAGAGGAGAAACAGGGCACGTTTAATGAACATCTTAGCTCCACTGTT